CATGTACTATACTGCATAACTACATCGTCATAGAAGATCCGGGAGATGAGTTGTTGCATGAGGAAAATTTCATTGAAGATGATGTTGGCGAAATAGCTAATGAGGATGAAGATGGTGTGGTTGACTTTAGTCAAACTATGATACAAAGAGAGGAAAGAGACTCAAGAAATGAGTGGAGGTTAAAGAGGGATCATATTGCAGTTGAAATGTGGCATGATTATTGTAATAAATATCGTGGTGGGGACACAACCGAGATTGGGATGTAATTTAAGTTATATGTACCAACTTATGTTATTTTAGACTATAAGGTTTGAATTTTGTGGTAAGATTAAAGTATACTCTCTTTATGAATTGAAATGTGGGAAGATTATTATATACTCTCTTTATGAATTGTATTTTCATTTGTTGCTAACTGTTATTGTACTAACATAAGGTTTAACTTTTGATATTTGTATGTTCTAATTTGTAGCAATCAGGCATGGGAGACTTTGATGACAGTGATAAATGCAAGGATACTCCTTCACCTAGAACACCTACAACACCCACTTATCCATACTTTCTGGGTCCTACACCACCCACTACACTACCTTTCCCTCCACTACCCGAATACAAGAGGTGTGCCTAATGCTAAATGGACTTCAGAGCATGATGATGTGTTAATCCCCTTTCTTGCTCAAATGGCGAAGGATGGTCTCAAAGTTGACAAAAATTTTAAAGTGCTTGCATATCGAAGAGCTGCAGAAGAGGTCAACAGAAAGTGCTTGACTGAATACACGAAGGAGCAAGTCATGAATCATGTCAAGTGCTTGAAGGGTAAATATTTTGATATGCGCACTGTCATGAACATGAGTGGGGCTGGTTATGATCCAGAAACAAAGATAGTCACCATGGATCCAGATTGTTTTGATAGGTGGATACAGGTAAATATTTATCCTAATTTAAAAAACCAAAAATCCTATTATATTACTATACTGATTATATAATATTCCATTATACAGGACAAACAATGCAATAGCTCTAGGTTGAAGGAGTATCTGAACACTCCTCTCATTCACTATGATAACTTGTGTTGCATCGCGGGAGATGACCAAGCAAAGGGTGATCTCACCAAAGATATGACTGAAAAGTTAGGCTCTAAACAACATGTTTTAATAGCTGACGAGGAGCATGTCGATCTTAGTGATAATGAGGTTGATGTGTCCTTTACCTCACATAATGACTTCAACAACCCTCAAACCCAAAAAATGAAAAAATCAAGTGGGGTAGCTCATACTTCAAGTGGTACATCACATCATAAAAAGAAAAGTAGCAAGGCCAAAGAGGATGAGTCTCTCACGCGCGATTTCATAGAGTCCATGTCATACTCAATTCAACATCAACGCATTATACATTGGAGTGAGACAATGGCCAATGCTCTAATGGCGCATTCCAATGAGTTTCCCGAGGATACATTGGACAAAGTGCTTGATTACTTGTATGATCATGAATCCGAATCTAGGAGGTTGATCATCAAAACAAAAAATTCTCAAAAGCTATTCATAGAGAAGATTATCAACGAGCAAGGATTTGACTTATGAAAACTTGATATTGCACTACTTTTGAAGACTTTGACATATCTATTGCTTTTGTAAACTCATTGTATATTTAACAACTTAATGATGTAACTAATTTTGTAGGTTGAACACTTAGTTAGATAGCTTTATGTTATTAATTTTGTAAGTTTAACAACTTAATGATGTAACTAATTTTTGTAAGTTGAACACTTAGTGGTGTAGCTTTATGTTATTAATTTTGTAAGTTTAACAACTTAATGATGTAACTAATTTTGTAAGTTGAACACTTAGTGGTGTAGCTTTATGTTATTAAATTTGTAAGTTTAACAACTTAATGATGTAACTAATTTCACTACTCTAATTGCAATCTCATGATAACTTTGGTTTGTAAGTTTAACAACTTAATGATGTAACTAATTTCACTACTCTAATTGCAATCTCATGATAACTTTGGTTCTTTTGCAGGTTTATATAAATATCATTGGATATGATACTTGATAGCAACCTACATTGCACGATATGTATTGGTATGGCTACTTTGTATTCTTCTAAGTGGGCAATGATGATGGTCTTAGTTAAGAGAATCCATATTACAATGTTTTGCTATGTTTAGGTAGGGCAATCTAGGATGAGAATGCAACCGACATCGCATTTACAATGTTAGGTAAGGCAATCCATTCATGTGATTGCAACCTACATTGCATTTACAATGTTCGGTGAGGCAATCCATTCATTTGATTGCAACCTACATTGCAACACCATTGTTAGATGAGGCAATCCATGTATTCAATTTTAATACCTATATCTGAGCCCCTAACTTGGTCCTATTATGAGTTGCTGGGTTGGTGGTCTGGGTTGCTATCTCATGAGAGCTTTTGACCCAGCTACATTTTCTCTGCTATTCTTCTACATCATTCTTTGATTTGGGTTGCTGGGTTTGATTGCTGGAGGGCTTATGTTTATATCTTCAGTTTCAGTTGCTGGGTTGCTGGGTTTTGTTGCTGTATATGAGAGTCATAAGCTTTTGATTTGGCCTGGGTTGCTGTGTTGCTGGGTAGCTGGGTTGCTGGGTTTTGATTTGGCCTGGGTTGCTGGGTTTTGCTGGGTTTTGCTGGGTTGCTGGGTTTTGATTTGGCCTGGGTTGCTGGGTTTTGCTGGGTTGCTGTGTTACTGGGTTGCTTGAGGGCTTATGTTTATATATTCAGTTTCATTTTCAGTTTCATATACAGGTTTTGTTTGCTTTTTTTTGTTAAAGGGGCCTGAAACAAATTTTTTGACTCTCATATACAGTTTGCTTGTTGACTTGTTCTTGATGGCCTGTGCTTTAAACTTGGTAGGTGGTGATTTTGTTGCTGGAGGTCTGTTTTTTTGCCGCTGGTGCTCTGGGTTGCTGGGTTTGTTGCTTTTGATTTGGGTCAGCTTATGTTTCAGTTCCAGTTTTCATCTTTTGTTGTGGGCTTGCTTGAAGAGTAAATACAAGAGTATTTGTTTCAATGGTTGTTTTCAATGGCTACTTTGTATTCTTCTAAGTGGGCAATGATGATGGTCTTAGTTAAGAGAATGCAATCTACAATGTTTTGTTATGTTTAGGTAGGGCAATCTAGGATGAGAATGCAACCGACATCGCATTTACAATGTTAGGTAAGGCAATCCATTCATGTGATTGCAACCTACATTGCATCCACAACGTCGGTGAGGCAATCCATTCATTTGATTGCAACCTACATTGCAACACCATTGTTAGATGAGGCAATCCATGTATTCAATTTTAATACCTATATCTGAGCCCCTAACTTGGTCCTATTATGAGATTTCATGCTGCTGGTCTGGGTTGCTGGGTTTGTTGCTTTTGATTTGGCTACATTACCTCTTTATTCCTCAACATCATTATTCTATGAGCCTTGGTATTCATAATCTTGTGGTTGTGGTTGCTGGTGGCTTTATTCTCCTACATCATTAAATCAAACTTTGTTGTTCTTGACTATATCTTGATGGCTTGTGCTTTAAACTGGGTAGCTGGTGATTTTGTTGCTGGAGGTTTTTGGCGCTGGTGGTCTGGGTTGCTTGGTTGCTGGGTTTTATTGCTGGGTTGCTGGGTTTTGTTGCTGGGTTGCTGCTGATTTTGTTGCCATTGCTCTGTGTTTTTGGCACTGGTGGTCTAGGTTGCTGGGTTTTGTTGCCGTTGCTCTGTGTTTTTGGCGCTGGTGGTCTGGGTTGCTGGGTTGCTGGGTTTTGTTGCTGGTTTGCTGGGTTTTGTTGCTGGGTTGCTGCTGATTTTGTTGCCATTGCTCTGTGTTTTTGGCGCTGGTGGTCTGGGTTGCTGGGTTGCTGGGTTTTGTTGCTGGGTTGCTGGGTTTTGTTGCTGGGTTGCTGCTGATTTTGTTGCCGTTGCTATGTGTTTTTGGCGCTGGTGGTCTGGGTTGCTGGGTTGCTGGGTTGCTGGGTTTTGTTGCTGGGTTGCTGGTGATTTTGTTACCGTTGTGGGCTTGCTTGAAGAGTAAATACAATAGTTGTTTTTTTATTGGGGGTAAGCTCACCAAAAATTCTTAAATTCACCAATCATTATTTTGGTGATCCTAAATTTTGTTTGCTACAATTTGGGATTTCAAATTCTAAAATTTGTAATGCTATAATTTAAGTTTGAAACAAACAAAACATTCTAAGTTTTGATATTTCAAATCCCAAAATTTTGTTAAAACAAACAACATTTTAGAGATCCCAAAACCCACTAAAAAATTTATGGATTTCAAATCCCATGTGAAATCCATATCCATAAATTTTTGGGATTTGAAACAAACACCCCCTTAATCAATGCATTCTCTTATAAATGTCTCTACACTACATCTTGTAGAACAAAATAATATTGCAAGAACTTCTCAATGCTTTCAGAGTGCGTATGTGTATTAAAATACTACATTTTTATAATTTAGGATACTAAAGTGTTCTTTTTTACAACTTAGAATATTTAAGTGCAAAAGTGATGTAATAATAAAACATTTAAGTACTAAGTTTTTATAATTTAGGATATCAAGTTGATATTTTTTTTTATAATTTGGAGTATCAAAACGCTACTTTTTTATAACTCAGATCATTTTAAGTGCAAAAATGATGAAGCAATACGGTGTTAAAATTTCGCCCAAAATTTCAGCACTAGGTCAAAGATATTTTTTTTAGGGCCCTTTCGCTTTACCATTTAGGTCCTCAGCACATGTGTTCTCTCACCATCCCACTTTTAGAAACAAGTCAAAGACATTTCAAAGCTCTTTCAAGCTGTCAACCAATCAGAACCCAACAAGTGTCGTTAATACCTTAAAACCTTAGCCGAACTTCACTGTAGTCCATTGTCTTGTGCAGTGTGCAGCTGCTCCGGCATCAGAAATCACATGCCCCCTCTGACCCAAGTTTCCCGCCAAAACTTCAAGCCCTAGCCCCTTCTCCCCTCCCTATAAAAAACAAAGAAGCTCAACCGCATTTGCTCTCTACATCTTCTTGTTACCATGGGGAAGTTGCTTGCTGTGCTCCTGTTGTCGGTCATCGCATTCTCAATAATCTCTTCTGGGGTAAGCTTTAGAGATCGAAGTGCCATCTCCCCATCGTTATTTGCAATAATCTTGTAAAAGTCTCTTATTGGCTTTTTTCTTTTGGGTATTGTAGCTTGGCAATACGTTGCGTGGTGAGTTGAATGAGGGGAGGTATGGGCCAGGGAGCTTGAGGAGTTACCGTAAGTTAATCTGCATTGCTTTTTGCGACGTAGTTTGTTAAAAGTAGCTTTGAGCACAAGCGCAATTGTTGACTTCACGCGGTCTTCAGCTATCATCAGACCATTTTTCAATCGAAGAAATTTTCAAAATGGTCTCAAACTAATTTTTTTTAAAACTAGACTCTTTTACGTTTTTATTACAGAAACAGATTCATTTTCTTACTATGTCAGCACTGTGACCAGAAAATGAGTATTTTTTTAAACACCTTCATAATTAGTTGGGGTTGTTAACCCCGTCTAATTTGGACCTCAGTTGTAACTTACAAATTTGTCGGGTATCAACCCCGACTAATTAGGAAGATGTTTAAAAAAATAGATTGATTTTCTGATCACGATGCTGATGTGATCAGAAAGTGAGTCTTTTTCTGTAATAAAAATGTAAGAGGGTTTAGTTTTAGAAAAAAAAAAAAGTTGGTTTGAGGTCATTTTGAAAATTTCTTCTTTTTCAATCTGAATATAACAATTACTCTTCGTTTTAAGGTGAATCGTTCTAAATCCTTTAGAAGAAGAAAACGAAAACAATATTACCGGCCTACCTGCAAGTGGCCGGTTGGGGCGCGGTCTTGGCTGGAAGGCCACGAATCGATTTGTGTCTAGGCGTGGCCTGTTTATTTTCCATGCATAGTTATTAGATATTGCGGTACCTGCATAATGCATCTGGATTTGGGCGGTGAAAGAGATGCCCTACACCTGAGGTTTAAGCAAGGTTCCTCGCCCAGAAAGAGAAAAAAACACAAAGCCTAAAAAAAATATCTGTACTTGAAGTAGTAGTCTTAAGGGCCTGTTTGGATTTGATTTTTTCGAGTTGAAAAATGGGGGAAAGCTGTCAAAAATGTCCGCTTTTTTGGCAGCTTTCCCTAAAATTGCCTCTTAAAGAGGCGATTTTGGGGAAAATTTGTCAAAAAGCTGATATTTTTGTAGCTTTCCCCGACTTTCTCTCTCCAAAAACAGGAACTGCGGTACTAAAGGATGATTAATTTTTAATACATCATTAATATAATGAATTCGCACAATGTTCAGCCAAAAGTGAGTTGAAGTTATGATTTAGATTTTTTTTTAAAAGTTGACCCACGTTAGATGTGTAATTCTAATTTTTTTTTGCCTGCCATAGAGTGCCCTGCACAATGCACAAGGAGGTGCTCAAGGACTCAATATCACAAGCCCTGCATGTTCTTCTGTCAAAAGTGTTGCAGAAAGTGTCTCTGTGTTCCTCCTGGTTTCTATGGCAACAAGCAAGTTTGTGCCTGTTACAACAATTGGAAGACAAAGCGTGGAGGACCAAAATGCCCTTAAGTTATTATTTAATTAGATTAATCAACATGATGATTATGTTGGTGATTAATGATGATTATCCCTTGTTGTAGTGTTTTTTGGGGACTAATATTTGTTATAGGTGTGAGTTTTGAGTTGAGGCTGATGAGACTCGTTTTGCTCGTTTTGATTGGACTTGGTTGGGTTTCGAATTAAAATGTTAAAGGCTTAATTAGTTGTATGTGAAGTAAAATTTGTGGTCATTTGTCTAAAATTTTCAGATTACTATGAAATTGTTAGAAGGCTGATCTGGGCTGTCTTTGTATGGCACAATAGCCTGGCTTGTTAAAATTTTAAGCGAAACATTTTCCGTCATGCTATTGTTGTACAGCAGCCCACTATTGTAAAGGTCCATTAATGCTTTTAATTGGTTAATGCCTTTAATTGGCGCTCCAATTTCAAACTCAAATGAAACTCTAAGGACGAAGTGTAGGCGTCAAAAAATGCTAATAGGTATCCCAAACATAGAGAAGATCATCAAAATATCACTTCATACTGTCTTAGGAGAAAAATCAAGACAGATTATTTGTCTTGCCAGCGAGACAGTATTTGCTGTCTCGTAGCGAGACAATGTATGCTGTCTCGCCAGCGAGGCAGTGTATGCTGTCTCGCCAGCGAGGCAGTGTATGCTGTCTCGCCAGCGAGGCAGTGTTTTGCTGATCTCGCCCAGCGAGATTAGTGTTTACTGTTTTCGCAGCCCGAGCAGTGTTTGAAATGCGTCAAAACCACCTTAAATAACTCCCACCCACGGTGTCCCATTAACTGCCAAGGGCGTCTGGGAGAACATCGTTAGCACGAAAATCACCGTGAATAACTGTCAATAATAACGGAGTTTTGAAAACGTGGGAAGCGCTAGTTAAAACGAAAACTTCGCAGACGAATATTCTTTTTCCGAGCCAGCATTTACTGTCTCGCGGGCCGAGACAACAAACACTGTCTCGCCCGCCGAGACAGCAAACACTGCCGCAGCCCTAATTTCGCCGTTTTGTGAGTTTTTGCCAGGCTTACAGACCCCATCAGGCCTTATAAATACCCCCTAAGGTGTTCAGTTCTGACGAGTGATCGAGCATATTTTCGAGCAGTCCAGAGCAGAGGCGATAGCGCAGACTTGAGTTCTTTAGTGGCATTTCCTTGATATTCGAGCTTTGACTTGATCTTAAGAAGAACGACTATCTTACTTTGATAAGATATCGTTTCAAATTCTTACTTCGATAAACGAAGGAAGAATCATTAAGCCCCCTTCACGATCTGTGATTCGGTGGTCCACGAACCAAAGCGTTCCCGGCACAGGCGAAGTCCCACAAAACAAGAATCGATAGACGATTTTTGTGTTATTTTCTCAAAAGTTGTAATTTTCTCTTTGTTGTGTAAAAGAGGTCTTATAAAAAGACTATTTCTTTGAATTTGTTGTAATCAAACAAAAATATAATGAATTCCACAGCAAAACCAACTTTCGACGAAAACAAACTGGCGACCACAGTGGGAGCCAGCGGCCTCGCTGCCGAGGTCGCAGTGTCGCAACCGATCAAGATCGTTGTCAACGAAGAGATCGAATACGAGTTCGATTAGGCGAAATTCGAGGAGTACTTGTCATCCTCATCATCAAAACTTTCCTCACCTCGTAAGTGTAGGAAGTTTTCATCTCCAAAGAAAAATTTCAAGTCTACAATGCCAATGAAGGCCGTAGGTGAAGGTTCTTGCCCAATTGCTGCTAAAGAATCTACCTGCGACATCTCTGCTCCAAACGACTCTGTACCAGTCAAGGAGTCGTTGATTAATGGCTCACCGGTGCTGACGAAAAGAGCTCGTCAGAGACAGCGCCAGCGCCGTGCTCGTCAATTGGCCAAGGCCATGCAACAAACCGACGGGGTCCATTATTATGCGGACCTAGAGTCGAGAAAACAAAAAGCGGTTCAATTGCCTCAACGGCAAAATAATCATATTTCTGCAAAACTTACGACGGAGGAATGGACTCTCGTCAAAAGAGCTCGTTCAACCCTCAAGGAACGTATACAAAAACGTCAGGCAAAAGCCGCTCGAGCTCGTGCCCGTCGTCAACAAATACAAGGAACCAAGAAAGAAATAGTGTCTGAAAAGCCACCAAATAACCGTAAAGTTTGGGTTCCGAAGGCGCCGCAAACATCCGTTCCGTGCCCGTCTACTGCATCACCAGTCAAACCCTGGGTTAGCCCAGATTTATCAAAGTTCAAGATCACAATGGCGGATCGCCTCGGTCCTTCGGTTGACGATCGAGGCAAAGCCCCAGTCAAAGAACAATCAGATCCAGCAAATAAACCCTT